ATGACACAGAGTTATCTGATATCCAAAATAGTTTATATTTTTGTTGAAGCAACCTAAGATCTTTGGTAAACTGATACATTTAATGATGCACGTCAGTGTTTATGCATCATAATTTAAGGCTGCTCTGTAAAAGCTCTGAATGGAAAATTGTAGGAAATTGTTTCTGATTTTGTTTAGGTTTACTGAAATCTAACTACATGTAACCTAAGGCCCTGCAATTTTAAGGCAGACAGTCTTATGGGGGTGGGGGGAGCGAAGGATTAAAAAACATGCAACAGAACCTGAAAGAACGAACTCTAACCTGTATCTGTAAACGTTTTATTTTTAGTGGAGTTTTGTTATTATAAAGACATGAGAATGTAAAAATTTTATGACCTTTTATGAAAAACACTTCGTGACTTTTTATGCAAAGACTTTTCATGACTTTTTATAAAATGATATTATGGGAAATACAACTGTATTCTGTTATATGCTGTTCTTTATATTCGGTGATTCCTGTAAAATGATTTGAGATGCAACATCAGAAATGCAAGGAGATGTGTGTATTTAGTAAAATATGAAATTATAAGCAAATCCTTTCTTTGAACTGCATCAATAGTCAACTAATAATGGCTTTTAGCTGTGTCTTGGGAATAATACTATATCGCGTGGCAGCAGGAAAGCAAAGGTGGTTTTTGGAATGCAGTACTTGGCTATTTCCTAAATGGGTGAAGTTTGAGATACGACCACTTATTATGTTCTTCCACTTCTAAATTCTTCTTCCTGCTGCTGTGCTTTGTTCACTGTTTTGTAAACTCTGAACCGTGAAATACTGAAGTACAGCCTAGTCTTACCTGTGTGTTTAGAATTTGCTGTATGCAGTAATACTCTGCGGAGTCAGGCCAGGCGGTTCGGCCCTGTTGCAGGATGGAGACTTGGGTAGGCAAGCTCCCTCAAAGTTGGAAGGGGGTGTGTAGGCACGCACGCGCGTGTCTGTGCCTGTATGAGAAAATGCCGTGACCAGGAGAACATCTCCTGGAGAGCATCTGAAGCCAAGGAGGGATGACAGTCCTAAGGTGACAGTTTAGCAATAGTATAAATATCTATAGGTATAGATGCGTTTGGAGGTTGCTCTTGTTTTTTGCTGTTTATCTAGTGTAACCTGTATTGATCCTTCTTCACACAAGCCCTGGTGGCTGCAAAAGCAAAATTTGGACTTTCCAAATAGTATGTAGAGCAATAGAGCTAGTCCTTCTTTAAGTAAAGTGTCAGTTTACTAAACTGCAAATATGGTATTTTGAATTAATTGGGAAATATTATGCTGGGGAGAAGGGAATAGTTGCTGATACTTCCTGGTGAAGTTCTCTGAAAACTACATCTTGCATCAGGCTCGCTCTGTGGCCTCTGTTTCCAAATGAGAGAGAAGTACTTAAAAATTCACATGCTGTTTTTTGGGGGGGAGGGGGAAACGAGAACAGAAGCAACAGTTGGGAAAAACACTTTCCTTCTCAGTGGATGTTTGCCTGGCAGCTTGGCTCTTCAGTCTTGCCCAGGTAAACTAAATCAGCACTGTAAAAATTAAAAAAACAAACTCCCACAAAAGATGCCCCTCACCTCTGCTTAAAAAAAAGCTCAAAAAAGACAACCCTGTCCTTCCTCAGGAGATAAAATTACAAAGACAAGTTTGGTTTAGTTTGTAAGTCTGAAACTAGTGCCCACAGAGACTCACAGAAGGGCACTGTCATCTTCTGTACTGTCTGCTCTAATTTTCCCTCTTTGTTAGTTGAGCTCCTGCTGACAGGAGTTCGTTCTAGCTGAATTGTTTTGCTTTAAAAAAGTCTGATAGTTACCTATTTGTATGCATGTTAAATAGCATTTGAAAAGGACTCCCATAATGAATAGAAGTAATCTATCAATTTACAGATGAGTTAATGCTTGCGTTAGGTATTGAAACTGATCTCAGTAGCAATGTGTGATGAGGTTGCTTTTTCATCTCAAAAAATCAGTTTTACTTCACTCTCATTTTAGATAATTATTACTTTTGTCCCTAAAGAAGGGATTTCCACGTGATAACAGAAGAAGAGATTCTTCCTTTCATTGTTTTCCTGTTCTAAATACATGAATTCATTTAAGAGCTATTTATCTACTGTAGGAACTTAAGCAAGTATAGATAGTATCTATAAAATAATGTTTATTCCGCTTTTCTGTTCTAGAAATACTGCCTTTTCTGGTATTATAAAGGCAGTATACCTGTTTTATAGGCTTTCTTGTTTTTTACTCTCCTGGTGTTGTTGGTTGTGGTTGTTTTTTATTTCTGTACGTACGAATAGTAAATGCTAGCCTTCACTCTCAACCACAGCTTCTCCTTGATACTATTATTGCTGGGTTGTGTCTCTTGTATGTTCAACTGTTAACTGTTAAGAGTCATTGGAGAATTTTTTTTTTTTTTAAACTGATACAGAAATACTGCTGGGATCCTGAAAAGGAAAATGTAGTCACTAGGAGATAGAAAATTCTGGCTTTAAAAATGAAATTCTTGGAATCTGAATGGTGACGGAAGTGCTCTGGAAGAGGTAAGGCCTGCTTCTGTAGCCATAGAAGAGGGCCAGTCGGGCAAGATCCTGGGTGCCCGGGATGTTCTAGTGTGCTAGAAAAGCCTATAGAAAAGCAGGAAGGGAAGAAAAGGAAAATCATGAGTAAGAAGTGGGTTAAAAATACTTTTCCTACCTCTCTTACAGATACAATTATGCAAGAGAGGAAAGTAGGATTTACTGATCTGCTAAAGTATTCTTACTGACCAGCAGTAAGCATGAGCCAATGCTGAATGATAGTAGCAACAGCATAAAAAACATCTTCTATTTTAATGTCGATTGATAGTTTTTATAATTAATTCTGTAAGCCCAAGAATTGGGAAAAATCTTGATGAGAATCTCAGTGAACTTACTTAGCGTTATGCTGATTTACAGCAGAAGATTCAGCTTTGACTGCTAAGCAGAGATTTCATATCTAGAAAGGCAGGGACTGGATCTATTTGAATATATTAATGACTAGTAAAGTTCAAAAGAGCTAAGAAGGCAGGGGACTTTTTCTTCTCCAAACATATATATAGATTTTTTTTTTTTAAAGTAGGCATGGCAGCAGTTTTGCTGTCACTGTTTGAAAAACTAACATTTCATAAATACTTACAGAACGGGGAATGTTTTTGAGCTCTTTTTATAAAAACGTAGGTGGCAACAGTCCTTTCTAGGCAAAAGTATAACTGGAGTTTACAGTTTCTATAGTTTTCTGTCCTTCCCTTAATATCAGGTAGCTTTATTTTACTACTTCTTTTGTACTTTAAGCTTCTTCTACCAAATGATGGCTCTACAAAGAGAGAAGGATTACAGGAAAGTGCAATAGATCAACAAACCAAACAATCCTTATGAGCCTCCATTAAGTGTTTTATTTTTAGCCAACACATTTTTTTTTTTTATAATATTAAACTGTGATACTTTCTGGGCAGCACAAAGGTAAAGTACTTCTTTCTTTGTGCAGTACCACAGAAAGCACCTTGTTTAATAATAATTGGAGCTAAACTGAGGCTGTCTCTCACTTCTGCTTCTTGCTAGAAGAGACATGAAGGGCCTAGAATAATAATCTCATTTTTAAGAATGGAAAGGATTAAATGTGGCATCTCAGGCTCAGGGTGGATTAATAGAAATATGAGTTTGTCAGGTGTTCCTCAACAAAAATACCACCTGTGCACCTACAGCGTTAATGTCTACAGAATTAAATTAAGGCATAGAGAAGTGTTAAAACTTTTCTAATGCCGTAAACAGAGTTAAAAGCTTGCCTAGGGATCCTGGGTTTTTATCTTGTGTATTGTCCACATGACTATATTCCCAGTGCTTGTTAATATTTTCAGGTAGGCATTTTGGCATTGTCTGCCATCCACTTCTGCTCCATGAGTGAAAATACTTGGCTGTGAATGTTTAGAAGCTGATCAGTCATAAACATAGCAACATGAATTTAGAATAAATACACATCTGCACTCTCTTCTTCCCCGAGACAAAATAATAGTTTAGAACTACTGGCTGCTGTTTATCAAATTCTCATCCTTTAATATATATTCATATATCTGTGTGTGTGCATATACACACATGATCAGGTTTTGTAGACCATAACCTGTTAGATATTTCTGCTAATCTGTCAGTTTCTGTCAATTTATTAATGGAAATTGCTTATAAAAGAAATATCTAGGCCTTGCACAGCTGAATATTCAGACTCTTAGAACCAGCAGAATCCAAAAATCCAATAATTTAGTGTTCATTGCTTTGCTGCTGCTACTTCCTTACTAATCTCTGCAGTTTTCTGCTGCTGCCCCCTCTCTCTGGGACTCCCTTTCCTTGCTGTAGGTGGTGGTTTAGCCCGTGCCCTCTAAATTATGCATCCTCTCTTTAGCTTCGTCCCCAATTATGGACTTTACCAACTGCAGCCATGTTGCTAGCTAGTGGCGTCTTACTGGCTTCTGTTCTGAGTAAAGTTACGAGTGTTACCTTCATATTTTTGCACTGTGCAAAAATATAAAGGTACATAATCTGTTATACAAAGGCCATCCCCATACCCTCTAAACATCTTGAACTTGGTCCGGGGAACCTGTATCAACATCAATTCACGATGAATAGTTGTTACATGGATCTTTGTTCCTGATCTAGCCAAACCTCTTGCTGATATATTTTTAAGACCTCTAATACCTTTTTATACCTTTACTACTATTTTTTGGTTAATGTGCCTAACTCTCTTAGTTGTATTGAGAGCTAAAGTTATTAATTGGCACCTCTTGCTCTTTAATCCCATCTTCAAAAGTAAAGCACTTACTGTGTTTAGTCATGTATTATCTATGTCTCCTATAGAAGTCAATGAACTTTAAAGGTTTATAGGGACCTCAAATTGTTCACTTATGAAATGTTTTTGCTAGCTACCTATCTGAAAATAATGAGACACTTTCACTGACAAAATAACTGAGTCCTCCTAGAAATAAATGACATTCTTTTAATGAAGAAAGTTTATTGCAGGTCTTTCTTTTACAATTCTAGTAGAAAGTATAGCTAAGAAAGACAATGAACTATGACAAATTCATAAGAATGAGCAAAGGAAATGAGTAAGCTGAATACATACAATATTGAACTAAGCAATATGATAAAGATAAAACCTCACTTATCCTTGACTGCAGATTAAGGATAACCGTTCCCCAGTCGTCGTTTCCAGTGCCTGCACCAGGTGAATAGGGGAGAGCACTGACAGACCTTGGATAGCTTTTGATGGTGGCTTGTTGTAGTAGCTCCTCCATCAGCTCATCCTAGAAGAAACTGCTCCATCTGTCCTAGGTTAGATAATATGCAGCAGGCTTTCCATTCACAGGTCCAAAGTGGTTTATCTAATAGGTAGTCTGGCTCTGGAGAAAGTTGTGGATGGGACATCTGTGGGAAGGAGATAAAATGGCTAGAACAAAAAAGGCTTCCCTGACTGCAGTCCTCTTCCTTTACAAATGAGTCTCCCTTGTTCATGTTTACATCCCAAGTCAGTTTGTTTAAATTCATATAATCTAAATGCTATCCTGTAGCCTACAGTCCTGATAACAAACCTGATACAAAAAGGACTATCCCTCCATCTCCAGCGTTTGTCCCATGATATTTTACAGTTAGTCCACTAAGAAGATTCTTCATGAAAACTTGCCTCCCCGGGTTCAGTAGAAACTTGACTAAAAACAGAGGCATTGGAACAGAAGGTGAATGCAGTTGTCTTCCCTCGTCTTCCTCTCCTGCTTTTCTGAGAATCCTCATCAGAAGAGTGCAACAGGGTCTGTTTGCAGAAGTGAGGTCTGGTAACTGCTCACCATTCTCAAGTACGTCTATAAAAATATGGTTAGCTAGACAGTAAGTTAGTCTATTTAGAGCCCGAGGCTGTGTGAAATGCAGGAAGTTAGCACAGACAACTTTAAAAAAAAAAAAAAAGAAAAAGAAAAAAGAAAAAAAGTCATCTAAAAATACCAGAATCTTTCCCCTATTGCTGTTCTCAAGACAAGGGCAAGGAGCACTCAAACACAGGCTCACTTGCCCGCTATTGCAAGTTTGTGACAGCCTGCCTTCGCCTCGCCACAAGAGGGTGCAAGCAAACTGAAAACAAACTGTGTTGTGAAATAAGAGAAACTGGGGAGAGCGCGAGGAGCTTCAGTTGGGTTTGGTTTAGTCAGTCCTACAGACCAGGCTGATCCCCAGCAAACTCGGGACATGCTGAGGCAGGGAGTGTGGGGGATCTGACTGGCTCAGCAGCAGCAGGGGAGAGGGCCTTGGCCCCAGCCACGCAAGGATCATCAGCTGTAGCAGCAATTGCAGACGTTTGCTCCAATCCAGCTCTACCAGAGTCCTGCGAGCGCTTGCTGCAGAAAATCTGACTCTCTTTATCTAGAGCTGTGTTCTAAAAACAAACAAAAACAAGGCAAAACATAAAAAGAACAGTTAAATCAAAGCCCTGTATACTGCAGGCACAAAACAATCTACAAGACATTGAGTGCATGCGTTAGAGCTAGAAAAAGGAGAAATAACATTAGAAATCTTATATAATTGTAGATTTTTGTGATGCTGATTTTTTGGAAAAAAAATCTAAGGAAAACTCATTTTCCAGATACACCTTTGCCATGCTATTGTAAATTTACAATTTTGTCTTGCAAGTCTGATGTGGAAAAGAAATGACATGAACCGTTACAATACGGCCCGACCTGTTCATATTAATTATTACCAAAATTTATGTACTTTTGTATGTGTAAAACAACAGTCACATCATACCTGATACTTTTGTTTGTTTATTTTTTGTATCATGTATCTCTGTATCTGTTTTTAAAGAGGATTGATGAAAGCCAGGGAATTTTTTTATTTTAAATTAGAACCCTTTTCTGCTTAGTGTTGAGCAACAGCAAATGAACTCCCTTGAAGTTGACAGACTACCGTGGCCAAAAAAAAAAAAAAAGCATGTTTTTTATATACTATACTAAAACCATAAGCGTTTAACAGAACAAAATAGAGGGTTAGAAGGGAAATTGAGACCTTCATGTCATAGTGAGGTGGTCTCTACCTGAACTTCTGTATGTGGTACATCTGCCAAAACAGACAACTTACTTTCATACCCTCCCCACCCCTCTTTCTCTGGAGGTATATACTGCCAGGTATATTAAACCACAGTGTAATGCTTACTTTGTAGTAGAATGTCTGAAGTGAGCTAGAGGGAAATCCTCATGTGTCAAAAATAGATGTCAAAATTCTTTAGTAAGACTTGGAAAGTCAGTATCATCCGGGCTGCTTCACAGGTTGAAGGCTGAGGTAGATCATCATTAAAAACTCTGTATTTTTTGAAGCTGCTTAACTCTTTACTTTGTGGAAGATTGCCAAGTACCAGCAGTAATACAGATTAAGTCAACAGAGATTAATACAGTAAGTGCCTTGTAGTTTATTCAGTTATATAGGATGGTGCAAAGTATATTTATTTCAATCTCGTACAGCTTGCTTTCTAAGGCTGTCCGCAAGCGTGTGGTATCTAAAAGGAGGAGCAGAGCACAAACGTGTGCTTCACTTCTGTGGATCTCTGCATATGGATGTGTAGGCGTTACAAGGCACTGGTGTGGGGAATGTCATATTTTGAGCTAGGATGTGTTAATTGCAAAGTAAGGTCAGGTGCTCTGCCTTTTCTGTAGGCATTTGTTTGTTTGTTTGGCTCAGAAGGACTTAGTTCTCTAATGTAAAAAATTCTGTGTATTTTTAGAGGAGTTTGGCTAATACACCATTCACTAAAGTAGGTAGTCTTAGATACTAAAACAATTTGCTGATCCAAGTTAAATTCGTCATATTTTTTTTTTCAGATGAAATTTTTAGCACTAAAGTCAGCAAGGAGGAGAAGGCAGAGGTAGGATAGTTACCCTCTTCTCCTAACTGATCAAATAGCTTCATAGGAAGACTCACTTCATTTTGGGATACTGGAATTCAGTTTCCTCTTTTACGTGACTTGGCAAAGAGAGACAGGTCAGTCTCTCCAGTAGAAGATTTCTATAGCCTACAGATATAAGGGCGGCTTGTTCTGGAATCAGTTTTGAACTCTTCTGTTGAAGCTGTTCTACCTTGTATAATGTTTAAACTTAAGCAAAGAATAAAGCCAGCTACTCCCTGCTGAAGAACACACGCTTTTCCCACTGACACCTGCCTTTTTGATTTGATCAGTTGCTACAAAGTAGAACATACCAGCGTCTCCCACTGCAGCACTCGAGATTTCCCTGAAGACCAGTCATTGAAAGTGCTGTTTTGGATCAAGGACAACAGGGCTCCTACACCTGTTTCCTACCTATCACAACGGTGCTGCCAAGACCTCCTCCCTCTATTTTTCAGATTTACTGTGGCTGTAGTTTGTTAATGCTGTTTTTGTGTTTTGTATGGAGGTCACAGGTGGGAATCTAGCATTAAGTACAGATGTGGCTGCATGCTGGGGAAGGGGAGGCACCAAGCAACAAGGTATTTCCCTGCCTCCCCCCCACCCCTCAGGCCTTAATGCCAGGCCTTTTAAGACTGCAGTACTGAGTGCCCAAAATCAAAGGTAAGTATTTTGAATTTTGGATGGTTTTTTTTCAGTTAGGACAAAAAATTGTATGCTATATGCATACAAGTACAGGAGAAAATTCAACAGTTTACAATTGAATTCTCTCTGCTACTAAGGATATACTTTGCAGATGAACATGCAATGACACGACCAGCTGAGCAGAATCTAGGCTCTTGAGAGTAGCTATAATGTGCAACGGTTTTAGGGTTATTGAGGTAGCTATGTCGGCAGGCTTGCATTTCCTTTTTCACTTGCTGGAGAGAGAACTGTGAATAAACAGATTCCTGCTATTTCTGTGGCAGAATAAGTTACTGCACAAGAGGAAGAAAATGCTTTCACAGTTCACTCTGAACGTGGGATTTCTCCTGTGATGTCCTCACAGCAGCCTCTCCTGATATTGCACACAGCAAGACAACCTATGTAGTATAACTTAGTGTGTGTGCGTGTATTGTTTGATTGTTTGTTTTCTTTTTTTAAAGAATTGGTTAGGAGGCTTTTTTTTACTGTTTCTAAGGAGGAATGTTTCTTATTGATTTAGAACTGATTACCTTTTGACTAGCTCTGTGATATACATATAGGCTGAAGCAACAATTACAAGTTTTATCTTAAATGGAAACAATTCTTCTTCCCAATGTTCAACCTTTTTGGTTTCTTTTTCATAAAGTTGATCTTATCACTTGTCATGCAATTCTACACTTTGTTAATTTGGGCTATTGGCTGTGTGACATTCACAAGCAACGTATACCAGTTGTCAGACTGCTCTCTGAAGATATGAAGGTAACTAATGTTTTAGCTTTGCGCAGTGAACAGTAGCAGATATATACTTTTTCTAACTGCTTTCAGAGATTGTAAGATACACACATGCACAAAATTATTCCTGTGGAAATAGACTGAAGTATGTTTAGGCAAGCAAAAAATAACTAATATGTCAACATTACCTTAGAAAGTTTCAAATACGTATCACTAATATAGGGAACTTTTGCAAGTGTTTAAAAGATTTTCCTTTTCTGTTTTCACGTAGCTGTAAAACTCTTTCCATTTCAGACTTATTGAGTTATTTCTCCTTTCTCCTTGTGACAAACAGAACTTTTTTGTGTGTGTGCGGCAGAATAAAGCATAGCAGTTAGTACGTACCATTGCCTTGGACCTACTCAGAGGAAAGCAATGCAGGCATTGGGAAAGGAGGAAAAGGAAGGAAGCAAGGGACAGAAACTAGACTTACTTTAAGCAGAACCAACACCATTGCAACAAATTTAGATTTACAGAACACTTTGAAATTCACAAAAAAAAAAAAAAATCAGTAATGACTTTCCAGCAACATGCTTTTAGGAGCAGAATTTTCCTGTGCAAAAAACACGGAAGTAGGTATGTACAGTTTTACTTATCTGCCACATGTATTATCTGCATTAGCCAGATCACAGTATTTGAATGAATTAATGCTAAAAGTAATTTACACTAAAAATATTCCTCCTTGAGTAAAAATGCGGGTGAAATACATGGGGTTTACAATACTGTGCTTGTCTGAATCTGAATTTTTATGAAAGCAATGAGCTCTATTACAAGTGAGGAACTTGATAACATAAAGATGACTAAATTTCAATGTCCTAGATAAACCAGGGCAAGAATAACAAACTGGAGGCCTAACACTCATTAATTTACGCTGTTTTGAACAAGGAGTTAACTTTCCCTTCAGCAATAACTGGAAGCTGCATTCAGAACCAAATAGCTATACATTTTCTGTCCTTCCAAACCTGTTAGAAGGAAGTAAGGCATGAAAAGGGAAAATTAAAATAAAACTTAGTTTTAATGAGATGTACTTTACTGGCTGAAGGGATGGCAGTAGCTAACAGAATCAGGAAAAAAACCCACACCAGTAAGAAGCCAGAAGCTATACTGTGTCAGAGATTTGAGATAAGCTTAAGTGGCATGCAAGTTGGAGAGGGGCTGAGAGTTAGAGTTAAAATTGCTCTTATTACATATACTGCATTTTATACCAGGCTTCAGCTTCAGGCTTATCCATAGTCTCAACAGTATAAAGAATGAAGCTCTGAAGTCCCTCTCAAACTGTCAAGTCAAACTGTCAAATGAAATGTAAACAGCAGCATCAACCTGAAATCAATTTTTTGACTTTTTAATGTTACTACTCTTCCTACTTTTAAATCTTGAGCCTATTTAATTCACATGCACTGTTCATGTAAATATATTCTGCAAAAGCATATATACATATGTAGAGACATCATTTACATTTACCTACTTTTAGATGACTACAACAATTCTTTGTTAACATTAGTGGGCTGGACTTGGAGAGTACCTGCCTAATGCTATATAAGACAAGCATGGTTGTTCAGTCCCTATAGCTGTTGTATATTCTGTGCAGAACTGACTGATGAATTAAAAGTGCATTACTGAGTATTGATAATAGTGAACTCAATTTCAGTTCTTCTACCGTGGTTCACATATCTGCCTCCTGGAATTATTGTTTATGTACCTTCAACTATAGTTCATCAGGATTCCTTCACATGTTTTGAAGGAAGCTTCCCATTGGGAAACAAACAAAACCTAGCAGACGTTAGACTGGGACAAAATTAACGTGGTAAGCAATACTATAAAAAAAAAATTCAGAATATTAATCTGTTTATCCACAAGCATAGTGTTGGACAACAGATCAAATAATGTGGGGGACAGAGCAAGATCCTACAACTAGATGTTCATTACCATTCAAATTACAGTTCTTATAATGAAAAATTTCAAATGATTAATAAGCTTCATTTCAGCATACAACTACTTAGTGTTTATAGGTATCTGTTTGAAAGCTTGTTTTTATAGCTTAGCTAGCGCACCGTGATAGACTTGGTTGCTCTTGAGCAATGGTGGCACAATACACACTATACACACATAAATACTAGAATTAGAGACTATTCTAGCTTTGCTTTTGCTGTTCTTGCACCACACACGCTCATACAGCACTGTTAGAAAAATATGCAAAGTATAATATCAATATATAAAAATGCTGTTTGCTCTTACCATGATGACAGAAACTCCAGCAGATGTGTTGTTTTGCTTGGGCAGGGTATTGTTAAAGTGCTGCTTCAGTTTACCTGTTACTTCAGCTTGCATATTATTCTCCTGGGATGCATCATCCTGTTTAAGAATATATATGATATTCAACTTAGGGGAAAAAAAAACCCTATGCTTGACAATAACCAAACAAAGAAAAAGTTTTCAGTTATCCTGCAGGTACTTCCTGCTTCTCAGTGTGAATTAAACGTTCAGATAAGCAGCCCAAAAATGAATGCCCTCTTGCTAGGTGAGATACAGTTCAGATGGGTTAAGACAAATTGCAAAGGAAGGGAACACAGCAACCATTGTTTTCTGCATGACCGCCTATTTCTTAAAAATGTCATGTGACAGTGCATACTTTGAATCCATGAATTTGACCCATTAAATGTAATACCGTAAGTCTGATCCAGAAATAACTATCATGTTGCAAACAAAAAAACGTAACTGTTATTCAGCTTTACTTACTTACATCAGCATTTTAAATGGCCCACCACGTTCCAGAAGTGTGGAAACAGTATACAGCACCAAAAACATGTTTGAGAGGAGCACAGAAACACCCTTGTTACAGTTGTCTTCCCTTATTTGAAGGGAACGCCACAGATCTTATTCAGTCCCTCTTTCGAAATGAGTGTGGAAATAAATATTGACTATTTACATGTAAACCTAATATTAATTAACAATAAACTGATTTTTAAACCGATATGCAATCATGTACTTAGGCTTTCCCCATTGCTACTGTCAGAAAGGATGAAGCACCAGCTTCATCTCAGGCATCAGCTTAATGTTCACAGCAAACCCCCCCACGTGAAGTTAAATACTTTATTTGGTTATTTTGTTCTTGCGAAGCTTGGAGTGCTTCAAAAAAACAGAGCATTGTAATTTCTCTTAAGTCACACCACAGCAAGTAAGATGCCAACATGCACAAGAGTCCTTCCACATACATGTTTTGAGATGTTTTCTGGGCTGAATTTTTGAAATGATAAAAAGGTGTCCAAGTTACAGATCTGCCTGTCATGTCATATTTAAAAAGCCAGTTTCTAGCCACTCCCAGTACTTTCCAATCTTGGTCAGCAGTAACAGCTTTTCTGTGCTCTGAAGGGTGACTATCTCTTCCCTGCAGTACAAGAGGAGACGTAGCCCATGCTAGGCTGTGTTTTTCTTGATAATATTTTTACTCTAGATTTTCTCCATTCCCTTATTCAAGTAATGTTCTGACAGTTCAGCTTCATTTGCTTCAAGGAAAGCTTTCAGTAACCACAAAGGATCAGCTAAAGCTTGAATTTCAGACCGTTGCTATTCTCCTTTCTGAGGAAGGAGAACTAGTGGGTCAATAAACAGAAGTGGGTGTAATAAAATTGTATCGCTGCTGCTGAGAACTATATTGTAATGCTAATGTTTACAGATTTACTATCAAATTAGAGAAAAGTAAAACACAATTTACTCACTGACACCCAGGGATGGCTTAGGATCTGTGCTGCTGTATATCGGGCTTCAGCATTCACGTGTAGCATCAAGCTAATTAACTCCTTAAAAAAAAAAAATAGTTTGAGAGTGGGGAAAGACATTCAAATGGAAAAGAGATAATTTTTTTTTCTTTTTTCTCCTTTCACTTAGCTGTTCTAGCAGCCATTGTGGATTTTTCCTGTAACCTAGGTGGAAAATCAACATGCGCTGATACCAGAACTCTAGTGTGACTTCAGTAGGACCAAATAAATATTTGCCCTTTAGGTTTTTATGGTATGGTAGACAGCACATGCCATATCAAGTTCCTTACTGTATTCGTGTTTCACTAAGTCTTCTTAAACCCTACGAAGAGGAAGTGGTCCAGACATCAGCTATAACGTCACTGGTTGTTCTTTATATAATCATGCAGGTGACCAGGACTAAAACAAACCTGGGACAGACAAGATCCTCTCTGGGCAGTGTGCATGCAGATGATTGATTACAGCATATTAAGGGCACCAAACAAGAGGCAAAGGAGCTCTTGCAGTTTCAGAAATTCAAGAAACTGCATAAATTATTTGAAAACTCTCTTCCTTTGTGTTGTTCCAGAAGAATAGAGACTTATTTCACTAGCTAAACATTGACTGGTACAGGAATAAGCAGATACGTAAACGTGCTTAATTTCAAGTAAATGTTTAAATCCCAACAGATGTTTCACTGGACTGTGGCTTTTGTCAAACATTGGAAGCACTAGAGCAGATGGCCTCAGCTTCACCAAATACTTCCTGGGCCCATCTGTTAATGGTGTGACTAGGTTGCCTATAGAGGCTCAAGAGGTCATTGATGCAAAGCAGCCAGTAAAGTTTGGGTTATACTTTCTTTACGTGTTTATTCGTTCAGTTTTCTTGCCCTTATGGCAGCAAACCTGACTGCAGCTGGCAGCTAATTTTTTGGTTGCCTCCTGGTTCTACAAGCCTAAAGACAAACATTTCCCTCTGCCAGATAAACAAGTTCCTGTTACTAGAGCTGAATTCCTCCAGTTGAAAAACCTTTTCTCACCCCTAAATTGCAAATTTTCATATTCTTATCAAAGGTATATCATGGCAATTGTTCATCTCTTCAGTTCTGGAAAACAGCTTTTTCAAACAGATAATGGCATTGATAACTGAGAGGTTTTCAGACCAGCAAAAAAAGTCTGTGCAAGTTTGAAGGGAAAGGTTACCTCTAGTATCAAGAACGAGAGGCACTGGTCCTGTTTGTTCAGAACGCAAGTCTGGAAGAGCACAAGATGATGATGCCTGATGGTGCCTGAGAAAGTTTGGCAAACAGATACATTTGCTCTGTTTTCAAGTAACAGCTATTGGGAAACTCAAAGTAATGCAGCTTCTCATTGCCTGGATAACAAATGTTTGTTCCACTTGCTAATGAAAGAGTCCTCGGAAAAATCATTCAGAGGACATTACTGAGTCAACTTGGGAAGCGGGGCTTAAAATTTGGAATCTTTATCCCTACAAACGCAATCATTTTAAACACAAAGGGTGTTGATGATAATACAAAAACTATTAGCAATGGCAATCAAGTTGGCTGGTTTTACTTCTTGGAGAGTTTTAATAACTGGCTGAAGAGTGAACAAATAAGATCAATTACACTTAGTCTACATGGCAAAAATTTTCTTTTAAAAGAGTGATAGGAGGGAAAATTCGGAGAGATGCTTATTTTACAGCTGAAGCACTGAAGTTACTGTAACAGTCCATCATTAAGTAAACTAAATAACACATGATGGTCTCTGGATTCAATTGACATTCTGCTGCACTTACTCATTCAGACAATAACACGATAGTAGGGCTGCAAAACCTGTACTTTCATCAAGCACTATTAAGCTAATTTAAGAGGCAAAGTATCTGGAAGAGTGGATAATGGTCTATTCTGTATCTTCTAGTCTGCATCTCCAATAGGGCATAGTCCTTTCAGAGGCTTGTCAGAAACACTTTTCCAGACTAGACAACATCTGTACCTTTGCTGAATCAGTGATATTATCCCAGTATGGAGAAGGAAATTCCAGCTTCCCAACAAGTATTTGATCGAAGAGGTCTTCCTGAAGGTTGTTTTCACTGTAGAACAGCAGTAATGAGAAAAAGACCATGAGAAAGAAGCTTGTCACACAAGTATTAAATTTCATTTTGAGTTGGAACAGAAGTGATGCCATCATATCAACTACTGTAAATGCGTGATTTGCAAGCTTATACAATGGCAGCACTTCTGAGATGTATTTGCTGTAGTTATGCTGACAGGAGTGATGAGAACAGAAAAATAATATTGAGGTGAAAGGACCCCCCCACTGGAATAGAGACTGCACAGCTAACAGGATGCAGTACCAAGAATAGGAAAGGAGATTCAAAAGCAAGTCACTTGCTTACCTAGCTGTAATGGATCTGCCACAGAATAAATGCTAGGGGGATGAAGTGTTGTGAAATGGTACTCTCTTCTGGTGAAACTATCACAACAGGAGATTTTTTTTCAAAATACAAAGAGTGGATATGGAAAACGCGTGATACATTGAGTTTACTGGGTATTGGCAAGCTACTAATATTGAAAAGATAAGTACCTTTGTACCAAAAACATGACATCATGAATATTTAGGAGTCAGGGGATGGAGGGGGGCTTCTGACCTTAACTGCTATGAACATCCACTCAAAATCTATTTCTGTAATGAACAATTTACATCTTAGCTTGGTTTTGCAGCAAATAAATATTAGTTAACCTCAGTTAAAGACCTGATTCTGGGTAGTATAGTATGGACATCACCTCTCCCCGCATTCAAAGCGATTGTAATTGGTATATCTTTTGAAACGTTTTTAGTATTAATCATGAACTAACAACATCCAGAAAACAAATACTAGAAGTAAATGATAACTTTTCCATTGACAATCAGTTATATTGTATTTCCCCTGACTATTTTTATTCGGTCTCATGATCTTTAGTAAAAACTAACTCTCTAATTATACCTGCATTTAATACCACTAATAAAAATGGACAAACAGCATACGCATGAATACCTTAGAAAGTAAGATGAGAATTCCTTATTAAAGAAGTGTGCTAATTGCTTCTGATTCCCAAGCAGAAAAATTAATGAGAAGCAAAGCATATTCATTTGATTTTTTTGTTTAGCAGAGGTCATGCATACTGTGACATTGAGCAGCAAGAACCATGTTTACTAATCCAGTAATCATACTACACTTATCAAAAAGTTTAAGAAAATTAAAAATGTATTAAGCAAATTCTTTCTATTACCGCAGTTTACCATTAACCTTTCCCCTGAACACTACCAACTGGTGAGCTGCTGTGTCCAAACAGAAACACTAGAGGGCAAAGTATACATGTTCATTGAACTGAGAAATTCCCCGTAGAAGACAAAAGGAAGAAGTATGCTGTCCAACATCGCCATATCCCAGCACACAGCAGCAAGCCAGGTGCTCCCTTAAAAAAAAAAAAAGTAAATAAAACCCAAAACCTGATAAGAGGGACAACTGAAGTAAATTAAAAAAGGGCAAAAAAGGTAAAAGTAAAAACATGTCAGTCTCTTCCTGTTCTCTCCGCTCTGTCCCCCCAACTCTCTTTTCCAGGGAGCTGGGAGATAGGTAAGACTTCTTTTATCTAGTAAGACTTTGGCTCTTTACTACTTTTCCCTTTGACATACAGGGACCCTCACCTGCGAAACGGGGGGAATCCACACAGCAGTATGTATGTGATCACACCTGCAGCCCAAATATCCACCTTTAAGCCATACCTGAGGAAACAAGACCATGTGTCACTTGTGCGGGACAAATGATCCAGTCAAATAACTGATTGGCATTGCATGGATATATATTGAGAATCTGCTCTCTCCAGAGCCGTCTGAATAGGCTCAGGTAGAAGACAAGGACATGCTCTCCTTTTATTCCGTGCTGCAGTTAACTAGCTCTAACATGAGCATGGGTTGCCAGGCAACAAGAAAGACCTCAATTCTCCAGGCTCTTACACGAACGAGTAACACGGGGATGCAGAACTGCACTGTTCTTTGGAAGCACAGAAATTGAAACACCCCATGTCAGAAAGTGGGCTTTTTTCCCTATTTTTTTTTTCCTCTCGCATAGATTCAAACAGTTTATCCAAATCTAAAAAGACCCAGATGAAGTCCCCGTTGATCTCTGAGCTCATGACAGCTCTGAACTATTTCTCTGTGTGACAAATGGACTGAACAATTGTCCAAACAATGCAGCAAACCTCCCTCTATTGGGAAGACCAAATTAGGAATGGTCACAGCGAAGACAACAGTCAGCTGGGATGGAACGGAAATCTAACTAACTGTCTAAATGGAAAGGAGACTTGTGCAGTTGTACACCATTTTATAAAATATCTTGTATTTAGGCAATCACCTGATAAATAACAGAAAGAAAGGTTTGTTTAATTAAACCAACAGTTCACAAATAGCTAATATCACCCAAACAAGGTAGCGGGAATGAACATGATCTAATGAGACCTCCTTTGAACAAGGGGTTAGACTAGGTGAACTCTGGAGTCTCTTTCAACCTCAATTTTTCGGTTTCTAACATACTGTGTTTCGCTGGTCAGAGTTTCTACCCAAGCAGATGGCACTGCTGATACAATGGGCTCTGATCAGTGAGGTGGGGCAGAGACCACTCATCCATAAATCCCACTGCACGAGCACTGGTCCTCTGGGAGATTGTAAGGAGGCAGAGGTGAGTCGGGGAGCACGGTGTGCAGGGAAACTGGCCTTTGCAAGGAACTGAATGCTGCCTATTTTCTCATAGGCATTAATTAGGTTACAAAAAGACTGAGGACCGTCCCATCCTGTTAGAAAACTCAAATTTTTACCATATTAAAAAATATTTGTACCTGCCAAAAATAACTGGTTACAAGACCTGTATTTAGTTACTCAGCCTCACCCTGTCTCTGCAATGATTTCTGGAGCCACATACGTGGGTGTACCACAGACAGTATATAAAGGTCCTTCAACCACAGTTGCCAGTCCAAAGTCTCCAAGCTTCAAAGACTTGGTTCCATCTGGATATTCACACACCTAGAATCAGCAGAAGAAAAACAGAATGGGCAGGAAGACTGCATTTTTTAAATTCTTTAATTTGTTTGGAAAATAATCATCACACAGAAAAGGTAGGAAAAAAGAGGTAACTTCCACAGCCCTGCATTGTAATTGTTTTGGTCCACGATTCTTCAATGTCTTTTAAACTACTTACAGACTTTCAGAGAACAGTTTTCTCTTGGAAAGTTCAGATGATATGAGTAATCTCAGTTTGAGAAAGGAAAGACATGAAAACATTTCCCTACTATAACCTACTCTGTTTCTGGACAGTATAGTCTTTGTAAGCTCCTCAAAAGCCAAGAACTTAGAACTTCTGTTGCTCATATTTTATAGCTTACATAAAGCTTATACACAGATGGTTGTAACACATCTGAGAAGTGCTAGGTCACTCTATAGAGCAACTCTGAGCAACTTCTCAATGTGACTGCCATAAACATCCAAGAAAAACGTATTACTCCTTAGGATGAAAATAGGCTCCAGTTAGGCCATGCCTTTGCACTACCGTAAAACCATTATGTCTAATCTGGCTTACGCAGAATGAATCTGGGTTTCTCTAAACGCACCTAGACTGGAACAGGGCTGGCTTGCTACGTTCACAAATTACATTGAATTTTGGCTGAAATACTTACACTCATGTTAAAAATTACACTGTGTGTGGTTTCTGGCCAAATTCTTTCATTTGGCGATACTTATTGTTGCTAATAAACTCTGTGCGTGCACATATCTGCGGTATCTAATATATCTTCCAATTCTATCTTATTTTCCAGAGGCCTAGATAAAATTACAATGTTAAGGTATTAAAGTACTTCTTGATCACTCTATCTGTAGCTATCTAAATAAAATTATCTGCTAGGGAAATATAGCACAAGCTTCTAGAGTCTGTATAACTGCTGAATGGACTGTTTCTCCATCCCAAAACTCAGGACAATTTTTGAAGGCTGAAATAGTTGTACACCGTTTGATGTAGACAGCTTATGGAAGTTTCTTCTTAATTTTCACTCTTTTTTATGAGCTAAGATGAGCATAAAATAGTCGGTAATCTATTAAAAAAAAAGTGTTTATGTAGGAATGGAAGAAGCTGTTGCTTAAATGGCTACAAAAAGCCTACTTTCCTTCCCTTCCCCCTCCCCCCCCATTATGTTTAATTCTGTGATCCATTCACCACTGTGACTGTTTACTAATGAATGCTCATGTGCTTGGTTTTAGCCATGCAATTAAATGTAAGGATATTTATAAGGTCAGAGTTACCAACAGAAAACTTTGTAACAGGCTGAAACTGGGTGCATTTGTTTTGGAGAATATCTATGCATACAACATTTTCCTGCTTTTTTGCACTAGTGGAAAAAATTACACCAAGCACGTAACAACCTGAGAAAAGTACATCTGCTGTGCTACTTTTAAGTACAATGGGAAATCTAGGAATAATACTTGTTAGATCGTTGATTCTTGGCAAAGAAATAAGAATCCAGATACCTATCTATCTGCATCGTTTTACAAACAATTGTTTGAAAAATCACACCAAGAAACGATGCATTTGAAGAAACAATATTTGGAATCAAGCTGGTATTTGACTTACCTTCTCTGATCCTCAGATTTCACAACTGGCAAGCGTTCAGTCCTTGTGTGTAGCTTCCTGAACCTAATATTTGTTTACTCCTATTCATATGCAATATAAATAAATAAAAAGACGGACCGTGCTCAAATAAGAACAGCAAGCTACCCGGACAAAGCCTGAAATTCACACCAGCTGAACTAAAAGCATAACAGGAGCATCAACACTAACGAAAAAACCACACTCCTATTCACAAAGTCATCTGCTCTGCCCCAGCTGACAATTTATTATATATTATATTTATACTGATTCTATATATAATATTCTTATATGTGATTTTCCCTCACCTTGCGGACGGAAGAACTGACTCTGAAATACTTGCATTGCTATGACTTGTTCTAATACGCAACATAAATGATTCGGTGTTATTTATTACCTGACACTGGGACTCTCTTCTTCTGCCTACTTGCCACAATACCAATTCACCAAATGAATGTGAACGAATACTTGTTCACCAAAAACACATAGAAGAGAGAGAAGTAACACTAGATTTCAAAATTAAACGGAATACTTCTGTTGAAGTAGGAAAGTCAGTCAAATACCAGTAACTACCCTCCTGAAAAAATTACCCTCCAAAAAGGAAAACTGATAAATACAGTCTCAGGCCAAAGACAGTTATAGATGCCCTTAAAATAACTGAATAGCCACGTAACCTGCTCTGAGTAAGATGCAATATTGTCAGATCAGCACAGTAGAGATGATTCTTCCCCTCTCCAGTTTGTTCCATGAGGTGGCAACAGATTATTCCCTCTGTGAGAGCACGGCTATGCTGGCTGTTAAATTATGGATTGGGGGTAAGTTTCTGGTTGCTTGCTCTAGGGGAAGAGGAGGAC